CCCAATTCCCTCAGCCTTTCCTCACAGGAGAGGTGCTCCATCCCTCTGATCAGCTTGTGTTGGAAAGGATCTTAAAGACCATCCAGTTCTTCCACCTCCCTGCCATGGGGAGGGACACCTTCCACTACCCCAGGTTGCTCCAAGCCCTGTCCAACCTGGCCCTGATTAATCTGCTGGTTTGAGGCAGTGCTCCCCTTTCTTGGTGGTCCTCAGCCTGCCAACCTGTCATCTGGGACAGCTCAGGAGCTGGGGAGGAGTTGAGGAGTTGTTGGTGCTTGGGACAGGGCTGGGTGGGTACTCTCAGGGAGCAGCCTGGGGTGGGGGCCCTTGGGTGGGCAGTGGTGGTGTTTTATTCCCTGTTCCTCGAGCAGGAGGTGTTGCAGAAATGCTCTGTGCTTCCCAGCTGGGCTGTCCTCTTCTGCCTTTGTCCTCTAAATGTAAATCTATCTGTAGGAACAACTCTTTGGGTGTTCCAGCACTTCCATTTCTGGGTCTGGGGGTGAGTCCCAGCCTGTGCAAAGCCCAGTGGAAGTCACTCACTGGGCTCAGAGTCCCTTTGCGTGTAAAATTGCTCAACACAGATAGAAAAAAGCTGTGCATGAGGCTGTTTTGTTGTCCATGGGAAATGTCCCAGTTCAGTTTTACATGTGGATGTGAGTTTAGGTCCATCTGTCCTTTTGACAGGGCAAGGAAGGGGGCAGGGAGATGGAAGATGAGTGGAAAAAAGCTTTTATTAGGCCATATTGTCTTTAGCCTGACTCAGAGTGAAACTATTAAAAAGTGGTTTCTTTGCAAGAGTTTCAAGTGATTTCAGTTCTCATCATGTACATCACTCTGAACTCTGTGCTGTGTCTCCCTTGACCTTTCAAAGCAAATCCCTCCTTTCCTGATTCCCCAACCCCAGGGATGGAAAGTTCCACTAAAGCAGTGGCCCAAAAGCAGGAATGGGAGTTGGGAATGAAGTTCTCAATTAGCCCCAGCATTTCTGAGCCTTCACTTGAGGCAGCTGCTCTGCAACAGTGCTGGGTGAGACCTGCACAGTCACTGCTCTCAGATAAACTCCAGACTGCTTTGAGAGAGTGTCAGGGGTTTAAATTCCCAGAGAAGCCTTTTCCCCCCCTTTTTTTTAGTTTTTCTCCCTCTTATTGCAGGTAGGAAGTTGCCTGTGAGTGCTGGAAGTGCTGCTTCCACTAAGCAGCTGCAGCCTCTGCATTCCCAGTGCTGGGATGGCAGCTTTAAAGGAGGGCAGGAGTGATCTCCTCCCCTCCATGTGCTTGGCACTGGGATCCCCTGCTGGGACTGACAGCAGGAGAGCAGGCAGAGCAAAGGGATGCTTCAGGTATTTCAGCTGTTCATCCAGCTGTGCTCCCAGGCACTCCCTGAGTTTGGGACCCTGGCTCCAGGAGGGATGTGCCCGTGGCAGAGAGAGGAAATGCAGTTGGAGCCTGACAGAGCAGGAGCATCCCTTGGTCACAGCTGTGACACCACAGCCCTGATCCCGTGGCAAAGGGAGGGATGAATTTCATGGAGCTTGTTAACGTGTTCTAAGTCATTAAATTGTTGAGCCAGTTTAACTGTTGAACTATTAATGTTAAAAGTGTGCCCTTGGGACCAGGAGGGGCAGTCCTGGGGACACTGGGAAGTGTGGGGCCTGCAGGTTGAGGGAGGTGATCCTGCCCCTCTACTTGGCCCTAGTGAAGCCACATCTGGAGTGTTGTGTCCACTTCTGGTCTCCACAGTTCAAGAAAGACAAGGAGCTATTGGAGAGGGCCCAGCAGAGGCCACAAAGATGATGAGGGGTCTGGAGCATCTCTCTGAGGAGGATAAACTGAGGGAGCTGGGCCTGGTTAGTGTGGAGAAGAGAAGACTGAGAGGAGATCTCATCAATCCATATAAATATGCACTGGAAAATAATAAATAGGCCCTGGCACAGGTT